AAGCTAATCTGGCTTTTAATGGTTATTGTTACGGTGCGTCATTTAGTTGCAGCTGACTCATAGGTGATCCTTCAGTGGGTTTTCAGAGCCTGCAAATCACATAAGAGGCAACTGTTCATCTTTGTCTGAGCAGCTGATAGATTTGAACTCCTTACCCACCTTAGTTTTGCTTCAGATCAAGGATTGAACGCAATATGAATTGAAGCTCAAAACCAAGAAGACAAAGATACCACCGGGCCAACTGGCAGCACCATGATAGATGGAGAAGAGATTGAGGATGTTGACAATTACAGCTTGCTTGACTCCACAAGCAACACTCTTGACATCAGAGTCAGGAAATCAAAAGATAAATTGCACTGGAAAAATCTGCTGTCAGAGACCTCTTCAGAGTACTGAGAAACAACAATGTTAGTTTACAGACTAAGGTGCGTCTAATCCAGACCACGGTCTTTGCAATTACTTGCTATGCGTCAGAGAGCTGGACAATGACTAAGTATGAGAGAAGAAGAATCCATGCCTTTGAACTGGAGTGCTGGAGAAGAGTCTTGATCATACCATGGACTGCCAAGAAAACAAATAGATCTGCCTTGGAGATGGTGAAATAAGTTTCTCCTTGGAAGCTAGAATTTTGGAGATCCATCTTATGGGTAGATGGCCAGAAGGGACTGATCCTTGGAGAAGGACCTCATGCTTGAAAGGGTGGAGGGACAGAGCAGAATAGGAAGACCCCGGATGAAATGTATTGATACAGTAACTGGGACAATTGGGGTAGGTATGTGAGAGTCACTGAGACTGGCTCAGGAAAGGCCAGGCTTCAGAGCTGCTGTACATAGAGTTGCTATGAGTCACAGGTGACTCAACAGCACATAACAAGAATAACTTGCCTTTGGGTTGATAAGCAACTTCTTACCCATTAGGCCACCAGAGCTCCTATAAAAGTTATTCTCTATTTAGTTGTTATGTATTTTTGGTAGGTCCTGATTTGTGGGTACCCAACAAACAACAGATCAAAATCTTCCCCCGTCCTGCCCCATCCTCACAATCTGCTCTTCTCAGGCTCTTTGTTACTGCCAATCCATCTCGGCGAGAGACTTCTCTTTCTCTGACTTTCTACTCTTCCAAATTATGATGTATTTTCCCAAGGAGTGGGGCCCCTTGACAATATGTCCAATGGATGTGAGATGAAGTTTAACAATCCTTACCTCTTAGGGGCATCCTAATTTTACTTCCTCCAAGACAGATTTGCTTAAAGTCATTGCCACTTGCATGGATTCCAACTCCTGGGGACCCAGTGGGATGGAATAAAACTGCCTCATCGGTCTTCCAAGGCTGTACATAGTTTCGGGAGCAGATGGCTTCACTCTCCTCCTGCAGAGTGATTGGTAGCTTTGAACCATTGACCTTTCTGTTAGCACCTTAACTCTTAAATCACCGTACTCCTAGGACGCTGAAGGTGAGTAAGTGGTTCTTAGTACTTAGGGTTCTATATCTGCTCTTGGTTGTCTTCAAGTCAAGTCTCAGTCATGGTGACCACATATGCACAAAGCCAAACTTCTCCTTAGACTGTGCTGATGGCCAGGCCTGAACTGTGATATGCCTCTGGGTAAGTTCCGGCCAACAACTTTTTGGCTAGTCATTTGCACCCCCCGGGGCCCCTTTTTTTCCCATTAATTGCAAGGTTGGGGGGTTTTTATTTTTTTTTTTTAATTTTGAAATTGGACTGTATATGTATCATATACATGGAAGTCTGAACACCTTCTTTTTATCAGGTGCAAACCTGAGGGGCTTCTAATTTTTTTTTATATTTTGAAATTGGACTTTATATCATACATGGAAGTCTGAAAAAAAAGTTGTCTAATTACTGGAGAGCTTTCTATAAGTGCAAAGGAAAGAGTTAGGGTGCAAATGGAACAATGAGTCTCTGCGTCACCCGGCCATTCACAATCTGACTGCAGATCTAGCTTGTGACTAATAATCTGGCTCTCGCATTGTAGTTTGTCACCATGAGGAGAATCAGTAAAAGCACAATTGTCACTTCCTTGGAAAAAATTTATCCACAGATGGATCCCAACACCCATCTGCACTGGCACCCCAAACTAATGGGGCTTTTTGCTAAATAAGGACCGACTCAGCCTAAAAAAAGACAGATTCTGGCAAAAAAAAATAAAAAAATAAAATAAATCTGTATTATGCATTGCTCCAAAAAAGCACGTTTACTCTAGCACTGAACACTCAAACTGTCCTCATAGGAGCTTCGTGAAGTGCTATTTATTAATTAAAATACACATTTGTATTTTGCCTCTTGAAATTAAGCCATGAGACTATGCAATGTTTTCATGTATTAAAAAAAATAATTAAGTTACTTATAAAACCCACTGCTTCATGTTTGTGTAGTTAACTAAATAATTAAGATAAAATTGTGTCCAAATTGAAAATATTCTTATTAAAATCACTAGATTTTTTCCCCCGAAGCCTCTATCTCAGGAGAATAAATCTTGCTACAGATCTTTATAAGGGGGTGAGGGTGATATTGATGAGAAAGGGTGGGGGTACATCTATTACTGCTATAATTGTATTTATATGTATAAGGCAGCTGTGGTGGCCTAGTGGCAAAAAGCTGTGCTGCAATCCTAAAAGCTCACGGTTCGAGGACACCAGCTGCTCCACTGGAGAAGGGTGAGCAGTCTTCTAACTGACTCTGAAAACCTGCCTGGAGGGTTGGATCCAAGTTGACATTAAACAACAACAACAAGAATTTATACAAAGAACCTTATAATTTATATTCATCTTTTAAAAAACATAAAAATATAGTTAGCACTTTATTCTATAAAAGAAATAAGATCCTAGTATCAATAAAGGATTTTTAAAAGTAAACATCATGAACATGCATTTTCAGAAGAAAAGGCTTTAAAACCTTCTCGTCTACAAAACGATCTTGGTCAGCAGTGTATGCAATTTAATTAGAGAAGAACATTAAAGGGAAGCAGTTTCGCTCCATGTTCCAGAAAAAAAAATGGCATCCAATTCTGTGTGACTGATTTTAAAGAGAGCTCATTACCCGGAAATAAGCGTTGCCACTCTGAATTTACAAAGCTTGGAAAATTCTTAGCAATCTAAAGGTGTACAGACTGGGTTGAAACGAAATAGGGAACTCTGGTGGTCAAGTCAGCGGGAAGTTGAATTGCTGACCCGAAGTCTGAGCCTCTTTGACTGGAATCCAGCAGTGGTCCTGCGAGGGACAGATGGGCAGTCACTGGATATTGTTGTTGGTAGGTGCTGTCTAGTGGACTTCAACTCATAGGGAGCCTATGGATCTAAACAGTGGCACATCCTCTGCCGCCCTCACCACCTCTTCTATCCGAGAGCCCATTGTCACAGTCAGTGTATCCATTCATCTTGTTGAGCGTCTTCCCCTTCGTTGTTGACCTTGCACTGTTCCAAACATGCTGTCCCTTTTAACAATATGCTCAGATTAAGTGAGATGAAATTTCACCACCTTGACCTTGCAAAGGGCACCCTGGCTGCGTATACATCCTAAGAAATCCAATGTGGAAGGGACAACTATGAGTTAAACTCATAGTGGCCACTCAAAAGTTATGAGTTTGAAAGAAAATCAGTACATCATTAATCACCACACCCCACCCCCTTTAAGTTTAGTACATGTTAGGGATTTATTGTATCTCTTCTACTCTACAGGGAGTTTTGGTGGACTGGTCCTCAAGATGTTGCATGCAAACCCAAACGTAGGGCGTCCCTTGAAGTTCAAATCCATCAATGGGTCTGCAGGAGAAAGAGGGGCAAGCTTCCCTGGTGTGATTTATAGCCAGCTCAAGGGTCAGCTTTGACTCAACAGTCATGAGTTCATATATTTTAATATATGTTGTTGTTGGTATGTGCTGTGGGGCCAGAACCCACTCAGAGAATCTGCCAGTGGATCCTCAGAAGCTGTAAATCCCAGGGAAGGAGATTACCCATTTTTCTCCAGGCTGTGGATTCCAAACACCTGCTGGGTTGTGAGTACAACTCCTGACCCATTAGCTCACCACAGGGTCACTTAAAGTCAGAACCCACTTGGCTGCAGCCAGGTTTCTTCTGCTTTGGCCTGTCTGGGAGAAGAAATGCATGAGGAAATCCTTTCCAAATGCTGATTGAAGCTGAAAGTCCGTTATATTTCTTAGGCTACATCGCTGTCTCACTCCAGTGCCTGTCAGCTCGGGGCTACTGCCTGAATCTGGATATGTTCATCCTCTTTACAGAGTTAATTCACGCTGCTTATAAATAATGCATGACTTAATAAATGTTAAGCTAGATCTCCACTGTGTGCAGCATTATTCATTCCCACGTACGCAGCTTTAAAAGGCAGCACAGAGTCGGTTGCAGGGCTTGGAGCAAGCTGAACCGTCTCATCTCCACAAATGGAATGCAGCAGCCCAGCTGGCTATCAGCTCAGCCACCACCGCGCGCAGGACGATACCACACCCTATTAATTTAAGAATCTTACTCATCTAGGGAAAGAGACACTTTTGCTGGCCAGGGGTTAAACACAGCTCTGCAAATCGAAGCGTATTTCACTAGCACCTCCTAGGGGCGGTGTGAGGATATGAGGTGGAGACCAGTTCTGATCCCTTTGCTTTCAGTTGTCAATTTCACCTTTGCGCAAGAAAGCACTACCCGGGGCTGTGGTCTGCAGGAACGCCAGCCAGCGTGTTGTTGGCGGACTCAAAGGTGCACTTGACACTTGAGGGAGGGAACCCCCTATATAGATACATATTTCAAATGCACAGAAAGAGGGAAGATCTTGCCCGTTGTATCGTGTCCTTTCAAAGTTTGTTGTTTTATTTTGTTTTCAACGGCACAGGAGTACCCAAAGAAATATGCATTTATTCATGGATTCATCCACGCACACGGATTAAGCTGCAGAGTTGGCCCACTCCAGTTAATCGCGAAGTTCACCCCGATTTTCCGAGGACTCTTAGAGTTTTCTTGCCTGAAATGAGGGCTGGGAGGCGCTGGTGCGAGGGCAGAGCTGAGTGTCTGGAGGAGTTGCTGTTCCAGAGAATTCATTACACTCTAATTGCTCTGATTTTAGATCAGCAGAGTGTGCCGGGCGGTGGTGGAGAACCAGATTGAGGGCGGACAAGGCGAGAGGGAAAAAAGCAGTTCACCGTTCAGCGGACGCGGTGAGCTTTGTAAGTAATTCACCAACAGTGGGGAGCAGAAACAAGCCGGGAGCTGGGGAACCGCCGCCTTTGGGGTCCCGCGCGTCTTAATCATGTTGCGTTCTGCGCTCCCATCCTGGGTCCCTGGCTCCCCATTCACTCGCCGCTGCTCAGTGCCAAGCTGCTCTCCCCTGAATTTCACGGGGTGCAGGACTGGGAGTGTGAGGGAGAGGAGAGGGGGGACACGCGCCCCTGCGCAGATATGCAAAGCTGCCCATTGGAGCCAAAGTTTCATCCCCATCAGGGCATGCCCCTGGCCCCTGGAGGAGGACACAGAGCGCAGCAACCTCCTCCAGGGAGAGACCCAAAAAAGAAAAAAAGAAAAGGGCAAAAAAAAAAAAAGGAAAAAGGGAAGCTGGGGCTCGAAGAGGGAGAGGAAGTCTTGCCCAAGGCCAGGCTGCAATTAAACAGCCGCAAAAGCCCGGCCGCCGAGCTTCCCACCTGCTGCTGTCCCAGCTGGGACGCCACTTCCTCCCGGCCAGCGCAGGCCAGCCCCCGGGCTTGGCTGGGGCTGGGCGGCCGGAGGGGGAGGAAGCGGCGGCAGGTTCCCGGCGCTGGCAACGCGGGGCCGCGGGTGCAGCATCCTCCCCTCCCCGCCGCGCTGCCCCGGGGCCGGCCGCGAGCCCGGCGCGCTGCCATTGGTCGGCTGCGAGCCCGGCGCGCTCCTATTGGCTTGGAGCGGCCGGAGGAGGCGCCAGGCGGCCCGGTATCTGCTTGGCTGCCTCAAAAGAGCCCAGGCGCCTTGCAGAGCGCACTGGAGCCTCGAGCAGCTCACAGCCTGCCCCGCGCCGGCCAGCTGGCTCCTCTTGGAAATTCTGGTCTGCTTTGGCTCCTTGGCTTTTGACAAACTACTGGATCTTACATGCCTCTGTACCCCTCACCTCCACTCCATGTCCCCAGGCTGCTGCTCCAGCAACAGGTAAGGGCTACTGGGGGTTTGCTTCCTTCCTTGTCTCTCGCTGCTTGGGTATCCTGGGGGCTTGGACCTGAGCGCTTGCCCTCGCCCTGCCCTGCTCCACAGCTCCAGAGGTGCCCAGCTGTCACTCCGCTGCAGCGCTCACCCACGCTCGGGAGTCTCAGATCATGTCTATGGAGTTTGTGTGAGCCCTAGAACCATCCTGAGAGCTAAAAATACAGAGACATGCTTGGAACAGTTGAGCAATAGAAACAGATTTTTTTTTTTCTGCAGCATCTGTTTGTGCTCATAACTTCCAATGCACCAGCTGTAGCAAGATACCGATTTTGGAGGCAGAGACGCGGAGTCTGTGTGTGGTTCTCTCTCAGGAAAAAGCCAGGGGCGAAGTCTAAAAGCACTGGTCCCAAACTTGACAAGGCATGCGATCCGTCACTATTTTCTCTTCTTGGGAGACTTTCTTTTTTTCTTTTGTCATTGCTTCAAGTGCAGCTTTGACTTGTAAATAGAAGGAACGTCTCTTAAGCGCCTTGCTGGTTTAGACTGGGAGCCCCAGTAGGAAAAGGAGTCGAAAGACCATAGAATTTTCCCATCCTATGTCCCTCTTCCCTAAGCCATTTGCTTTTCGTATTAATAATAGTTTTAATATCTAATTGGAAGACCGTGTGGCTTCAGGGAAGTACAGTGGTCAAAACGATTTGCTTCTGTAATAACATTGCATCATAACATGGTCGCAGTGTGACAGTTGAGAGGAAAAAAAAAAGAGAGATAGGAAGTGACCCATTTAATGTTCTGTCTTGAAGAGCATGTCCGTGGTATGATAACTTGAATCAGACTGTGGATCCTGGGGACACTCAGAATTTGTCTGTGACACGGAGACAGGGCAATATTTGCAAACATGTTTTAGTAAAGTGAAGCATGCAGATGCCTTTTTTACACCTTGACAGTCAAAAGGCAGTTCAATGTCCCTTTGCTCACCAATGTATGTCTCCAGTACACTATCTTTTCATTTATTCCAGTTATTCCTTCCTCATTTAAGCTCCCCATTCCCAACTGTTGTACTTGTATTTTCCATTTTCCGGAAGAATCTCGATAATCTGAAAGATGGTGGGAGGGAAGGAGGTGGGGGTCAAGGTCGTTTCACTTTGCTTTCTGCACCTCCCCCTTGATGGCCCTTTATTTTTATGTTATTTTATCCTTAAAGAGGATTTGTTTTAAACTGTCGTGATTTTGAAATTGCTGCAGGGGAAAGATTGAAAGAACGCACAATATTTATAGGTCCTTCAACTCTTTCTCAGTTGACAGAATCTCCAGTTAGTTCTAGAAAACCCTGTATGAAAGATTGGCCAAAGGTCAATACATCTTTACCTGAACAGATTGGCTAATGATCTAAGATTGGAGTGTGTGTGTGTGTGTGTGTGTGTGTGTGTGTGTGTGTGTTGTGTTTTCACTCACCAGATGTGCGTCTTTCAGCATATGCAAACGTTGCGTGGTGCTTTGTATAAGTCTAGTTGAGTATAAATGTTACTGACCGTGCTAACATGGGTAAGTGGATATGCCTTTACCCTCCCCTCCCTCTGCAGCTTCCCCCTCCCGTCTTGTGTTTACTGATCTTCTAAGAGGTTGCTTTGCTAGGAGTTGTGCTCACATAGCAACATGCACCCTGAGCACACTCAGGCTGGTCTGGATGGCGTCAGCTGGGGAATAGCTGCTCCAACCTCTCATTAGCGGCCCTCTCTCAGCCTCACACACTCTCCTTTACTATCTGTATTTCCTATCCGTAGACAGAAACTTTCTGATTTCCTGCCCACCTGATCGTATTATGCGGCACATTGAGTTTTCATGATTACATGTTTGTACTTAATTTTGTTTTTCAATTAAAAATTAATCATTTGCTAAATATGTCCTACCTACTAAAATACTTTAGAGGCCTTTGGATTCACCCATCTATGCCCTGTGACCTCTATGACCTTGTGTCTATCCATAGCTCTCGCTCCTAACATCTACCTAAGATCGAAGCGCTGAACTATTTTTTTCCCCATTGCTTATGTTTAATTTTGGCTCAGCCTATAAATAGTCTTAACATGAACATCACCACATGTAGACTCTCAATATCCCAGAAAGACTTTCCACTTCGTTGGTTATGGCCTGGGTAAAAGGATGATTTGTTTCCATTTAAGTTTGCATCCAGTACCTTAAATATTTTGAGTGAAAGGAGATTTGCTTGTACTATCTATCACACCAAATACTGATTATCCTTATTTGTGTTAATCCAAGTGCTCCTATTACTTTATTTTTCTCCTCTACCTTTCATTGGCTATTTCCCAAGGAATAATTTTAATTAAATTCATAAAATAAAGTTTCATGAATGTCCTATTCCTAATCTAATGCCCTCACTCCCTGTGGACCATGTACTGACAATTATGAGTGACTTGGTGAGGAATTTTGCTCCTTGTCTAAAAGCGACAGGTCAGTTTGATTGGAATGGTAGTCTTTGTGGTTAAATATTAAGATATCACTTGCCTTGGGCGGGCTCAAGGTTTTTGCTGTGTCATCAGCTCCACAGAAATTGAGGGCATGTATTATGCGTGCGCACGTATCTCTTCTCATACAAATCTGTTTTGGAAGGATCTATTTCCTCAGTGACAAAAGTTTTTCTTTTGCCAAGGAAACCTCCTCCCTTTTATCCTTCTACCCTTCCTGGGCTGAAGTGACAGAATTTCTACAAGATGCTTTGCACGTGGAACAATTCTGTCATTAGCCATGGAATGAAGACAGTTATAGTCACTTAAGGGAGAGTATTTATTTTCAAGGTTCTAAATGTGGGAAACAATTCCTAAAGAACCCAAACCCCACTACCATTGAGTCAACTGTGAGTCACGGTGATCCTACAGGAAGAAGTAGAATTGCCCTTAGGTTTTCCAGAATGGTTGGCATCAGGGAAGCAGACTGCCCCTTTCTTCTTCTAGGGAGCAAAAGAGGATGTCATATGATTTCTGGAATCCAAACTAACAACCTTGATTCAAGATTTTTGGAATGTTGTGCTTTGGTCTTTTGATTCCATTCAGTTCTTAGATTTTAATCAAGTTAGTTCATCAGTTCAGGTAAGGATTGAGCTTTAGCCAATCTTCTATGCTACTAAAAAAATCTTCTTTAGCTTGGAGAAGAGCTCAGATATAAGGCAGAAGACATTTAAGACTGGCTTATCATGGCACTGTGATAACTCTCAGAGAAGGCTGTTTTGAATCAAGAAAAGGAAATGTCTTGGTGTCAATTTGTAAAGTTCTGAAATCAATCTAAGCCCAAAGATACAAACACGCTTAAATGAGACTTCTCGTTGGTCTTAGCAAGCCCACCTGCATTTGGCATTCTGCAGCTATCTGCATCTGTCTGTGTTGAAAAGTTTGGTGATTGTGTGAGAGCCAAATCAACTGACAACCTCTGCTTTTAGACAGTCCTTTCATGTGCAAGATCTAGAACCCTGGAGAATAACAGTCTTGCTTCTATGGTCCAAGTGCAAACTTCACAGGGAAGCAGACAAAACATCGAAGCAGGTGGAAGGTTAGAAAGGCACAGTAACTTCTTTTTATAAAGTAATTCAAAGGCACTTTCAATTCGGGCATCATTGAGGTGTCAAAAGCTGCCAAAATGTAACACACATTGCAATTTTCACAGATGACTAATCTCAGGAAAAATGTGTTGAGGCACATTCTTGCATAATAACTTGGGGGGAGAGAGAGAGTGAGAGAGAAAAAGAGAGAGAGAGAGAGAGAGAGAGAGAGATCAAAAGACAGTATAAAGCATTTTTCAGAGGCAGTGCACCTTGCTTTTCTGTGAGAAGCTGTCAAAACTAAGAAACAGGGTTTCTCTCATTGGCTTGCAGTTGGTTTTGCTAACTGTTCACTCTTCTTGTACTTTGGGGGATAAAGAAGAATAGATTAGCTTTGTCAGAGATCCAATATATTTCTGGTTCTTTCCATATGTTGTCCATTGACCCTCCTAAATGCAGAAGATGGGTTTCTTAGCATGAAAAGTCAGAAATCTAGTTAGTCTATCTTTTCAAGGCAATCAGAGCTTTATTTATGTAAATTTGGTAAATTCTTCCACTTTAGGCTTTTGCTAGGAAATCAATTGAAAAACACTTTCTTCTTTGTGAAGAAGGAAATGTAAAGGAAGTCGCTTTTACCTGGGGGAGGATGAGGCAAGAGGAGAAAACTGAACCCTACTATTTGTTCATATTATGTCAAGGTGAGTGCCTTCTCCATAGGAACCGACAGCAAACAAGAGCCCCGGAAGTGAAGGCGAGCTGAGTGACGCTCATTAACCACCCTGAGAGAGTTGTCTTTTGGGGGAATAGGCATCCGACCCACAGAAAAAGAGTTCCTGCCTTATCTCAACCCACCGAAGACCTGGCTGTTAGCACCACGATGCTTACTTCTTAGCTTGTCATTACACATGGCAGTTCTATCCTGGGAGAATTTCAGGACTCTTATCTCTAGGCAACAGAATCTCTCTCTATCCCCCTGAGCAAATCTTGCCTTCAAGTCAGAATCGCTGCACTAACAGAGATGTTATCAGGGGTTTCAGCATCCTGGCTGCCTGGAGTATGCCAAGGGATGGAGCAAGCCCCAGCAGTGTCTAGAAATTGGGCTTCATTTCCGATGATCAGAAGAGCTGTCTGCTCAGTCAGATCACTTAAGCAAACTGGTCTGCCTGCGTGTTTTGATGATGAGGGTTCTAATATTCTTCTAGAATGTCATGCATTTTAATGCATCTGTTGCTTTTGTGTGAAGTGTCCTGTGAAGATTTCCTAGTTCCTAAGGCTTCATGACAAGAGTTTGAAATCAGAAAACCCTTCTCCTGTATCTTGTTGTTATGTGCTGTCAAGTCACTTGTGACTCAGAACGACAATAGCTCAGAGCTCTGCTCTATCCAGAGCCAACCTCATGATCTCCAACACACCCACCTCCGTTACTCCAGTCACTGAGTCAATCCATCTCATTCAAGGTCATCCTCTCCTGTGCTGTCCCTCCACCCTCCCAAGTATGATGTTCCTCTAGCAACATGGGAAAGTGAAAGAAGAGAATAGGAAGTAAGGAATATACCTGGAAAAGGGAACATTCTAGAATCCCTGGCAAAAACGAGGAGAAATGGGGACCTGAAATGTTGGTTGAACACTTGCTGTAAACAATTGTCTTTTAATGGCTTTAAAGAAAAGAAAATGTTTGCCTTAACATAAGATTTGAAATAAAGAGAAATAATTTAAAAACCACTTTATAATTCAATGCAAGATATATTTATATTTGACATCTATCTTGTTGGGAAGTACCCCTTTGATAATGACTGACCCTGTAATGAACAATCTCTCTTTTTTCCTTGCAGGACATGTTCCCTGGACGTCATTAAGTCACCAAGGTCACTCTGCAGGTGACTCAACAGCCCTTGGTAGACGCCCAACGTTCCCGGAGACACCCATCTCTCATCATTTCTTTTTGCGTGTGTGTCCTCACCGAACATTCAAAACTGTTTCTCCAAAGGGTTTTGCAAAAACTCAGACTGTTTTCCAAAGCAGAAGCACTGGCGTCCACGGCAGAAGCGATGGGCAGTGTGCGAACCAACCGCTACAGCATCGTGTCTTCTGAAGAAGACGGCATGAAGCTGGCCACCATGGCGGTGGCCAACGGCTTTGGGAACGGGAAAAGCAAGGTCCACACTCGACAGCAGTGCAGGAGCCGCTTTGTCAAGAAGGACGGGCACTGCAATGTCCAGTTCATCAATGTGGGGGAGAAGGGACAGCGGTACCTGGCAGACATCTTCACCACGTGCGTGGACATCCGCTGGCGATGGATGCTGGTCATCTTCTGCCTGGCCTTTGTGCTCTCCTGGCTGTTTTTTGGCTGTGTCTTCTGGCTGATCGCTCTGCTCCACGGGGATCTGGACGCCACCAAGGACAGCAAAGCCTGTGTGTCTGAGGTGAACAGCTTCACCGCCGCCTTCCTCTTCTCCATCGAGACCCAGACGACCATAGGCTATGGCTTCAGGTGTGTCACCGACGAGTGCCCCATCGCCGTCTTCATGGTGGTCTTCCAGTCGATTGTGGGCTGCATCATCGACGCCTTCATCATTGGCGCCGTCATGGCGAAGATGGCCAAGCCCAAGAAGAGGAATGAGACTCTGGTCTTCAGCAACAACGCTGTCATCGCCATGAGGGACGGCAAGCTGTGTCTCATGTGGCGGGTGGGCAACCTCCGTAAGAGTCACCTGGTGGAGGCTCACGTGCGAGCCCAGCTCCTCAAATCCAGAATCACTTCCGAAGGGGAGTACATCCCCCTGGATCAAATAGACATCAACGTTGGCTTCGACAGTGGCATTGACCGCATATTTCTTGTGTCCCCAATCACAATAGTCCACGAAATAGATGAAGACAGTCCTTTATACGACCTGAGTAAACAGGACATTGACAATGCAGACTTCGAGATTGTTGTGATATTGGAAGGCATGGTGGAGGCCACGGCCATGACCACACAGTGTCGTAGCTCCTACCTGGCGAATGAAATCCTGTGGGGTCACCGCTACGAGCCGGTGCTCTTTGAAGAGAAGCACTACTACAAAGTGGACTATTCGAGGTTCCACAAAACTTACGAGGTGCCCAACACGCCCCTTTGTAGCGCCAGAGACTTGGCAGAAAAGAAATATATCCTCTCCAACGCAAACTCATTTTGCTACGAAAATGAAGTTGCCCTCACAAGCAAAGAGGAGGACGACAGTGAAAATGGACTTCCCGAAAGTACTAGTACAGACACACCCCCTGACATTGACCTTCACAACCAGGCCAGTGTACCTCTAGAGCCCAGGCCCTTACGGCGAGAATCAGAGATATGACTTGACTGACTCCTTCTCTGGAATATTTACTTTTAAACACAGTCTGTTGGTCAGCGGCCCAAAAGAGTTCTAGAGACGACGGTACTGGTGACGAGGTGGGTTGAGGCGAAGGGCCACAGGGACTGAGGCGAGCAGGAAGGTTCCGCAAATAAAAAAGACTGAGAGGGCGAGAAGATCCGCGCGAAGCTCCGACATGCCCCCTGCATGACCTGATGGCACATATATGTTGTAGGATAAGTTATGGGTTTTTATGTTTTGTTTTGTGTTTTGACAAAACTTGAACTTGCAGGCAAGCCTTGGTTGGGTATTCGACTTATCCAGCATGCTTCTCTTTGGGGAACAAGAATGTTTTTAATGGCATAACAAAGGCAAGACTCTGCCTTAATTTTTGAAAAGCTGCTAACTACATGAGCACAAACCGTATTTGTGTGTCAGTGTGGTTTTTCTTTTGTGTAATTTAAAAAGTCAGTGTTGAACTTTGTGGAAAGCTCATGATACGCTTCGAAGTGGCAAGTATTTGGCTATTAGCTGCCAAAACAAGAGCCTGATTTTTTAAGGCCAGTAATTTGTTTGCTAGAATTGATTATTTTTCCCCCCTCTCTCTGTCTTTGGTTACATAAGGGCATTATGTAACACTAGCCAAATGGTAGCCTCCAGGGCTTGGTTGTTTTGGTTTTGTTTTTTTTGTTTTTTGTTTTTTTCTCTCTCCCTTCCATAAGGCTAATGGGTTATCTCAAATTTTAAGTCAGACTACCTAAAATGAATACCAAAGATAAATGCACATTTTTGCACAGCGGAGCTTGGACTTAAAAGGAAACAAAGCCCCCGTGGGCTGCCTTGGAATCAAGAGACAAGTAACATTGAACCTCAGCATGACCTTGAACTATCATTTTGCACCTTGTTTAGAAAATGGAATATCACCCATGCGTGTGTGCGCGCACAAATACACACACATACAGAGTCTTTCAAGTGCAATTGTTTCTCATGTCTTTTCTTTCATGTGACTTTCTTATCTGAAGAGGGAAGTCAAATTTTCATGAGCACGGACACACACACACACACACACACACACGCACACACACACGCACACAGAGGCATTTTTCTTCCCCTTAGCTAAGGCTGGCCAAACGAAAAAGAAAGTCAGGGACGGTGATGATGTGCTGGCTAGGTATTCCCATTCTGCACATTCCAAAATTTACTCCATGAGAGAAGAGCCTGGCTAAGTTTGGTCAGAGTTAGTCAAGCTGAACCAGCCAGAGTGAAAAATGAATAGGTTTTAACCCTTGGGACTGAATTTGTTGTTTTGGTTGTCAAGAAGACATTTCCGTCTTGATTTTTGCCACAGGAAGGATGCCACACCTGGCCTTTTGGCTAATTCTTCTCATCAGGCTGAGAAGAACTAGGTTGAACCTTACGCGGTCAGAGGGCTGCCATTGCCTGAGAGGGGAGGCAGGACAGCGTCGACCAGTCACTATGATGCAGCCCTTAGTTCAAGTATTCAAGAGAGAGAGAGAGAAGTTGCTTTTTTAATGGCAAAGGGTAGGAATGAAAATGTGCCAGTATTTTAGGGCCAAAGGAAGCCATACAAAGTTACCACCACCACCACCACCACCACAAGTAAAGGTACCTTTATGTGTACGCACTCATGTTTGAACGCAAGCCCAGCAATGTCTCCTGTGAAGCCCTAGAGCAGGTCACTAGGAAGCACTGTTTTCCAGAAGCTTTTCTTGTCTGTCTGACTGCCTGCCTTGCAAGGAGGTGGGTTCCCCTCCCCCTTGTCACTCTAGCCTTTGTTGTTATTGTTGTTAAAAGTCCCCCATTTGTGAATTCTGGGGTTACTGACTTTTCTTCTTAATAGAGAATCTCAAAATCAATTATCTTGTGGTATTATATCCCTGTATGCCATTAAAAAACAACTTGTTCTAGAATCATAGGTTGGTAACACGATGTTTGTGATGGTCTCTGGTTCTTCTTGATCAGCCATCTCGGAATGAGGGGCCGGCAATAATAGGACAATGTTGTTGTATTTCAGCATGCAAAGTTGAGGAGTTTGAAAACTGTGATGTTCTTTTAATGAAACTGCGATGGAGATGTCAAACGCGTGGATACTATTTGAAATCCAAGTTGAAGGGCAGGCTTGGAAAGTGGTTTTCAAGAGTTGGAGGATATGGAGATTGAGAAAGAGAAATTATAGAAGAGGCAACAATTTGGCCATTGTCAGTGAAAGAATACTGAGGACTTCAGTGCTGCTATTATGATGTTTTGCAAAGAAAAATAATCAAACCAAAGAGTATTCAGTGATATGTAAATTATATGAAGATTCAGCAGAGAATGGGGGTAACCCTAAAGGAGGCTCCCCCAAACATACAGTGCTGCCACACACAAAAAAGACTTACGCTGTTGGAAAAGGGGTGGTTATGGGGTGACAATGAGGGAGGAACATTTTATGCTTATTTCTAAAAAAGAGGAAAAAATTTAAAATTTCTGGTGCACAGGTTTGTTTTTTTTTTCCAAGAAAATTTTGCAGAAGCTATGTTTTTAAAGTGTACATTTTATAAAGTTTATCAGATATTTTCATATTTAAAGCCAAATGTAAATAGGAGTCTGTAAAAGAAAACAAAACGCCATAGAAAGTATAATTTCAGTGCAGCAATGTCTGAGAGCTAGTACCTATATGCTACCGGTTAGCATGGTTTTAGCAAATATTTACCAGCCTTATAAGGTTTGTATTGCTATGTTCTTCTGTTATTTATTTCAGCATGGACTGTTCATTTGAAAGCTTTTCCTAGTTACTAGCATTCTTAACAGTTACAAGCTTTAAATGGCAAGTTTTTGTCCTGTTTCATTTTGTGTTTGTCGAGAGCCAAGACACAGGTAAGGCACACCACGTTTTGCTGCATTTTACCTTCAAAACACTTGTCCTTATTCACTGGGTTGCTTTTAGCACCCATGCTGTCAGAATGTGGATGGAAGGGATCACCTTGACTATCTGGGGTCTGTTCCCATATATGTGTTGCTTCTCGAGCGCAAGCAAATCCCAGATGAATCTACTTGGAATATCTTCCCTTTTAAAGCGTTTTGCCCAGATATGTACGGGCAGTCTATTTTTTGTGGGGGGAGGGAGTGGGAGAAAGGGCATAGATTACTTATTATCCTATTTTTAAATAAAAGTAGAGAGAGCGAATTCTATTTTGATTATTGAGAAAGGAATAGTTTTCTATCCTTCTAAGAGTATACTTGAATCTGACATTTTCAGGATGTCCCTCTAGCACTGTAGTCCTTTCTAAATTTCTGGAGGCAGTTTGTTTATCTTTTATTGTTAGTAGTTGTAAAATTCTGTTCATGCATTATTTCTTCCCTCGAGGTCCTTTCTTCCCCGTCCACTCACATCCCAAATCTGGATGTTTATTTGTTAAAGTAAAATCACCTTCCCTTAAATCATGGTCTTCTTGCGGATAAAATGTTTGTCACTTTGTTGTTTTATAGCAAACTACTCAGTGCAGGCAAAAACTGCTTGTTCTGGGGAGACAGAGTGAATGATTTTTCACTCTGTGTTAAGCAATGTTAAGGTGAAAAAAATTTTTTTAAAGTGTTGCATAGTTTTACCCTTCTCTAATCCCTCAGCCAATTGTAATCATGTTTCTGTAATGTTGGCATTTCAGCTCTGGGCTCTGACGAGTTGAACAATTCTGGCCTTTGACAATCGTGATAGTAATTATTGATTTCCCATTTGCCCATCTTTTTGTATCTAAAGTCTTTCTAATGTACTGCACAAACCATGGATTGTACATAATTTTTATATATTATGTCTTATTTTATTATTTCTAAATAAAAAGTTTAAAATGGAAAACAAATTGGTGCAAGGATCTTTGTGCTTCCTGTCTGGTGACTGCAGAGTCGTTGAGACATAAAGCAAAGGCTTCCAAACAATAGGGCAGAAACCGGGTGGTTTTGATGAATGGAGCCATGGAACTGGGCTCAACGGACAGGTGCCGTGGGCTGGCAGATTAGTGTAATCCCAGTTAGAGGAAGTCAGGCTCATATTTTGTTTTCGGACAAAATGGTCTGGGGAACTTGAGAGCATACAAAAGACAGAAAATCAAGCAAATGAACAAAAGTAATAAAAATAGTACTCCTTTATATATACAGAATCTCTATTTAATGGTAATAGCAAACTCAAACCAGTAGCCGTCATTTATTGTCATTCTGTGTCAGAGTGGAACTGGCCACCGGAGGGTTTTGATCTTTTGGGAAGTTACTTGCTATCCAAGACTTGCTTCTGAGTTGGCTCTGCGTGGATCTGAACCATCAGCCTTCACCACTAGTAGCCAAGAGCTTAACTATTTCATCACTCAGAAACTCTAAAGGAGAATACTATTTACCAAGCCTTTACTATGTGTATGATTCTCATCTCATATACAAATAAGCCAGACTATTATTACTTCCATTATTACTTATCAAGGGTCAGCAAATATTTTCTTAGATAGTATTTATTTTATTATTTTTTTTTTTAATTTGCAGACCAGATAATCTCTTTTGCAGCTATTCACTCTGCCTGGTCACAGTTGTTATAAAATAATGGACATGGTGTGTTCCAATAAAACTTTATTTGTAGTTACAGTCTGAGTTCTAGATCTGACTCAGCCTGAAGTTTACCGTCCTTTGTTTTAGACAAAGAAGTTAAGGCTGAGTTGGTGAACCATTAAATTAATATCTATATTTTGGTTTTATCTACTCCCAAAACCTACTTGTGTAGTTCTTTATGACACATAGTTACCAAGAATATGGAGTCTCAGAGAAAATGCTACCAAGCAAACTTAGAACTTAACTAAATATTTTTCAAGCGTGGGAATGTTGGAACGTTTAAGAACAATTGACTTCTGTGGAATAGACTTTTTTTTCTTTAGCAAACATTCACAAAATCTTTATTATAGTTCAAACATGTTTCTTAAGCTCGTCATAAATATTAAATAATTTAATCTTGATAGAAAATCAGTAGGGAGCTTGGATGGCATAGTCAGTCCTGCTGCTGACTCACAGGTCATTCCTCCTCGAGGTTGAAAGCCACGTTGCCTGGACCTCAGTGAGGGAGGGGCTAAATGAGTGAATTGCTTTTGGCTGCC